GTACTCACGTAACCTGCAATTGAAATGACATCAGCGCAAATAATTTTGCTTCATGAAATGTTTCATACAAAAGTCTAGTTAGACCTTTAGATTAGTTTTTAGTGTGACGCCCTTATCTGAGTTTCTCGGTACTATTCGCATCTCTTACAAGATTTGCTCCACCGTTTTCATCTCGAATTAGTTTTTGTTGCAGTTGCTGTCTTTTGTTTGAACCTTTCTTTCATTTTGAGTGGTTCATATCTCTTCAATAGTGAATATGTGTTTCTTGCGAATCTTACGATTCTCTGCTGTAGTTATGGTTTAGATGGTACGAAGGTGGCGTGGCACGTTGACACAACCGTTTGCTGTTAAACTCTTCAAAGGTAACCTACAGATCCTTGACGTAATCTGCAAAGTTGCCGTTTTCTCAAAAGCTTTTATGTTACTAGCATCAATAGAATGTCCGGACAGTTCATCCCACGCAGTTTATTAGGGAGCACACTCAATACTGCTAGTGCTTTTGCATATTAGTCAAACTACTACTGCTGCATTGCTAATAGAAAATCCATTGGTAGTGATTGGACTAGAAATGATATTTACTATGCCCTTTCGCTAATTGAGGTTTTCAGGAATATGGAATGCACACCCACGATTCGCTACTAGGACAGTAATGGTGAAAAACAACGACGTAGACTCTGCATTCAGTCTATTAAATAGGTGGGTCACTTATTCACTAAACTACCAATCGTACTGTCACTATCTTCGTGACTATATCTTGTTATTTCAAATGATTATTGTCACTCATGTTCACTCAGTCCCTCATTTTATGCGCAGTATAAATAAGCCATAGTTTAATTGACCATGTTTATATATTTCCCACTTCATCGCCATATCGCCGTTAAAATTTGAATAGTTACTACAGATTCTCGTCAGCGGCAATCGTTAACATTCACATTTTCTATATCTTTTGCCTAATCTATGATTCCACAGTCACGTCACAGATTATCTCTTGTCTCACAAAAGTTCCATAAAAATATGAGAACATATCCATCTATACTCAGCACTATAGTTGAGACCGAACATTCGTGTTTGAAGAAATTATTCCAACATTTCGAATATTCGATTCTCGAATACTCGTAAAAGCAATAGTCGAATATTCGAAAGAAAACCATTCATTCGACTATCCGAATAGCCGAATATT